CCATTCTGAGATCACATACCCTGCCAGCCACAAATGTCAATGCTCCATCAATTACACAGTCGAGGTCACTATTTCTGACAGGCTCCTTCGCCATGTCGCGGCAGATATGGAGGCCACTGAGCAAACTGAGGACCAGTTGACTCAGTTATATTGACCGCCTTCGTTGATGACCCTTGAAATTCACTCCACTCTAGTTTCTGATGCCTTCGCGACCTGAAATTAGTGGTGTCTGGTCTGGCTATGCTTAGGAAACAATTATTTGTTTGGCAATGAATACGTGGGTTTAGCCAAGGAAATCAATGTAGGATTCTTCACTCTTCCACAGCCGAAGATATGTAACCCTTGAAGCCTAATGAACGAGATTCATTCAGATAAACTGTGAAAAGTTTCACTGAGGCTTTATCACTTTTAGTAGAAGACTCGCTTGTTAATTGCTGAAATAAATATTATTGATCAGAATACATAAATAAGGTTGCATGGGGTCTTACAAACAAGTTGGTGCTAGAAAACTGTATTTTGGCTCTCCGAAGACGTACAAAGGAATGACAGAAGTGATCGAACATCATGCGGTGAAACGAAAGAGTTTGTTGTGCGAGTATGGGTCCATCGAGATTCAGCACTAGGTCCAATTTTTGTTCTCTACGGAGACAGGAGCTATAACTAAAAATCTGCAGCATGCAGTCTCATTTTGTATACGCTATGAAGATGACGCAGTGTTAAGCAGTTATGGAGCAAAAAGAAATATAAGCAAAAACTCAAAGCTGGCTGAACATGCCTTATCGAGACTCCTGATCAGTAAAGGCAAGTCGGTATACGTGGTGAATTGTCTGAGTTGGACGAACAGAAGGATCGTCATTAAATCCGTTAAGGAAGCGGCTGTTCGTTATTTCAAATAAGCCAGGATCAGAAGTGCCTTGCTCCCATCCCTCAAGCAATGGAAAGATCAACAAATGAGAAATCAGTCAAAACTGTCGAGCTCAAATGGAAAGAGGTGAGAAGCGTGCTGCGCGCTGTGGGAAGATTCCTACAAAACTAAACGGAGAGATGCACAAAATGATAATAAGGCCAATACGTTTGGATGAAGCTGAATGTTTGGCTACCCTGCAGAGACACGAGCAACGGATGAACTCCATAGGCTGCTCCTATGAATGGATGGTGTCAGCAAGGAGGGCCGCATTCGAGGTATTTTTCTAAGAGGTATTCTGGGAGAAGCACCAGTTACAGAAAAGTTGATGAAATGCTGCGCCACGAGAAACGAAGCTGCGAGTGCTGATTCAAGCAGTGGTACTGCCTCAGAAGGAAAGAGAGGAAAGACAAAACGTTATATAGATCAATTTGAAACCGCAAACATCAATAACCTGTGGAGGATATGAAGAGAGTTGACTGAAACAGCGGTCCTCTGTTAAAAGTAAGACTTCAAGGTAAAGAAAAAACTGGTTAATATGCGTTTGCTTGCTTATTCTGCTAAGCCTTTCTCCGCCCTGAAATGTGAATAAATTGTTTTCGAAGTATTATGCCCGCTTAACCGTACAGTAACG